TGGTTTGCAAACTTTTTCAGTGAAGGTCAGATAGTAAATATTTTAGATTTTCCAACTACTCAGCTGTATCACTGTAGCACAAAAGAAGCCTTACACAATACCTTAGGAATGACTGTGGCTTCTTTCCAACAAAACTTGATTTTTGAAAAATGAAATTTGAATTTCATTTGATTTTCATGTGTTACAACTATGTTTTCACTTGAATTTTGCTCCAATCATTTATAAAATGTAAAACTAGTCTTAGCTTATGTGTCCTGTAAAAACAGGAGGCATTCTGGATTTGGCTTGTTGGCTGACGTGTGCTCTGTAGGCCCCAGGTTGAGCTGCTTCTCTTCTAGCTTGAATCTTCCCTTTAAAATGGAGCCAGGTCCTAGGCACACAGCTCCAAGCAGTTCCCTTCTTTGAACCAATATAAGTGTATAAAGTAGCATATTTAAAACAACACGTTATTCAACTCTCCCCTTTCAAATTCTAGAAGTTATTTGCAGTGTCTACATACATTTTGAGTTTTATTTTATGCGGGTTAAACAGCTTCCCTATTTAATGCAGTACAAATGTTGTGTGGAAATTACTTTCTTTTGGGAGAGGATATCTCTTCTACTCTCAGTACCACTTGAGTTTCTTCACAACCTCGTAAGCAACAATTGCAAGATCATTTTTCTTAAACAACCATTTTTCTAAAACCTCGATGCTTTCTTTGCACAAAAGATTTTGTTTAGTCAGGCGCAGCAGTGCGCACATCATCTCAAGGATCATGAGTTTGAGCCCAGCCTTGGTGACTTAGCAATTTAGCAAGACCCTATCTCAAAACAAAAAATGGAAAAAGGCTGGAGATACTGCTTTGTGCACAGGATCTAGGTTTAATTCCCACGAGTGGGTGGTATTTAACTGACTACCTTCATTAGTTAAATATTTTATGTGCATCAGGATACTTCACATTGTTTGCCTCTGATTACTGATGTCTCCCCTACAGGAGCAGTTAAGCAGTAAGCGATGCGGGTTATAGGATAACGACCTTCTGAGCCATCAGTAACAATCTTTAATAAAAAATGCATACACCTGTGCAACGCCTTATAGGCTATGAATTACCTCCATACATATTCTTTTTAAGTTACATTCAAATAAGTAAAACAAACTTACAACATTATGGTCAAAAACTGATAAGATTCTTACTGCTGCTCTTTAATTGTTGGGAGGGAAACTCCTTATCATAAGTGCCGGAACAGAGACGGGAACCAACACTGAGCAACTGGTTTGCATTAGTTTGACTCTTACAGCTCTGCAAAGTAGCTGGGTTTTTTTGTTTGTTTGTTTTGTTTTTTTTGGGGGGGGGGCGGAATTTAGCTCAGTGGCAAAGCGCCTGCCTGGCAAGCCCAAGGTCATGAGTTCAATTCCTGGTACTGGAAGAAAAGACAAAAAAGTAGCTGTTTTCATCCCTTGTTCAAGAAAGGCTTTGGTAACTTTCTGAAAGTAGCGCAGCTTGTGGAAATTAGAGCCCAAGGCTGAACCACAGAGTCCGTGTTTCTACAAATGTCTCTGCAAAGACTCAACTTGGAAAGAAAAAGCACAGTTCTCAGTGCAGTAGTAACCACCTGTTCCCCGTGGTTTCACTTTCCTTGGTTTCGGTTACCTGAAATCTGAAAATATTAAATGGAAATTTCAGAAATAAACAACTTGTAGGCTTTACTTACTTATTTTTCAGTGCTGGTGATCAAATCCTGGGCCTCACACATGATAACCATTGGTAAGTTTTAAAGTGCCATTCCTTGGATTAAAAAGATGTATTTTCATACCGTACTCATAAGTGAAAGAAACCAGACTCACATGTGTAAGCATCATATTGTCTCCCTGTGTGAGAAACTGAAAGTAAATAAGGTCTAAAATGTACAGTCGATATTGTGAAATGGGAAGATATTGTTCAAAAGGAAAGAGAAACTGGGATGGAAGAAAGGGGAGAGGACAGAAGGGAAAAAGTAAAAACTGCAAGTCAGTTATACTATTAGTGTCACTTCGTTCTTTGAAAAGGGAGGTTTGTGCTAGTATCAATTTGAGAAATTTTAATTTTTGTATCTTGTACTCTGAATAATTACTTTAAGATAACAATATGCAATAGATTAGCTTGTTATTCTACTATCATTTTGTTATGAAATTTTGTTTTACCTTTTTTCCATAAAATAAAAAAATAAAGTTCCATTCTTAGTAGTGGGATTAGTCTTGTACTGTTCTACTCTGTCCTGTGCTGGGTGTGAATCACCCTTTTGTCCTGTATATCCACACTGTATACACTACCCTCCCATAAGTCACTTAGTGGCCCTCTTGATAAACAGAATTACTGTCCTCTACCACAGTGCTTGTGTTCAAGTAACCCTTATGTAGCCCAACACTACCTCACAAAGCCTACCTCATTTATTATGAGATTCACTAATGAATTATGAATAATAATAATTTTTAATTTAATATTTAAATTATTAATAATAATTTCAAATAATTCATTAAGAATTTATCTCATGTAAAGCATTGTATCAGGTCATAGAATCACAAGAAGGTGAGTACAGTTAATATTTTATAACAAAGATATCACCTGCACATATTTTTTACCATAGTATTTTGTCACAATTGCTCTAATTTATTTTTATTTATTGTTTCTTACTATGGCTAATTTATAAAGTTTCCTTTATCATAGGTATGTATGTCGAGAAAAGAAAACATATTATGTATGGGTTTTGTAATATCTACCATTTTTGGCATCTACCGGAAGTATTTTTATGTATTTCTCATAAGGAAGGCACTACTATATATATACAGATAGGATCTTTTCTATTGTGCTCTTCTGAAGGCATGTGGACATACTTTAAAATAACTGAAACCTTCATTTAAAACAATTCTATTAATTGAGCATTTATTTCTTCTTGCCAATAGAGTACAAATGACTTTCCGTTCTGTCATTACATTTCCCTTAGGAAAACAAATTCACTCATGAAATTGAGTTATTTTGACAGTATAATTTGTGATAGGTTTTCCTTGTTGTCTGCTTTAGGCAGGCTGTGTTTATCTAATTATCTCTAGATATTATTCTTTGATACTTGTTGGGGCAGACTGCTGGGAGCCCACTGTTCCACAAATGCCAGACAGTGATTTAAGTGTTAGGATTCTGAATTTTAAAATTTTGACTCCACAAGTACTTTTCCTTTCCTCAGCTCACTTCAGACCTCCCCCTATAAATGTTCTTTTATCTTTGCCCTTGGTGCACTTTCCAAATTTTAAATGGAGAATGGGCCAAGTGATAATGGAATACACATTTCTTATCTTTTGTTGTAAAGGTACTTTTAACTTTCAAATGTTTTGTACTTTTAGATGTGTTCTCTTAAAAGAAACTTCCATAATATCTACTAAAATTAATTAAGCAAATTCTTTTTTAATCACAAAGTTGATTATCTAACACTTTACCATTACTGGAGTATTACAATCATTTAGGAAATATTTTTCCTTCAATATATTTTGATTGCAAATTTTCAAGATAATTATAATGCTGTGAGAAATAGATATGTAAAACAATGGGGAACAGATGCAATACCATTGAAAGACAAACTAAACAAACAAATGTCATAGTCTAAAAATTCAAAAGTGAAAAGGGGGACCTGGGCATGAAGGAGCACCCCTGTAATCCCAGCACTTGAGCGGCTGAGGCAGGAGGACTGTTGTGACTACGAGACCAGCCTGGGCTACAAAGCGAGCTCAAGGCCAGCCTGAACTGCATAGCGAGACCCTGTCTCAAAAAGACAAAAACAAAAACAAAAAAACCCCAGAAAACCCCCAAACCCCCAAAACATACAAATAAACAAAAAAAACCCCAAAAAGTGAAAAGGGGCTGACATGCAGCTCTTATAGTCATTAACCATTTCAACTGGTGACTGTGACCATGCTCACTGAAATCCATGGTCTTAGAGCACGGTATCGTTTTAAATTGTAGGAGAAGGAAATTTATTATGAATAAATTTGGATGAAGATGTTTTTGTTTGAAACTGGGTTAGCTACAAGCAACAGAGGACTGAAGATAACAGAAACTTAAACAATTTAGATATTTATCTCTCTTTTAAAAGACCAAAGGTAGCTAGCTCCAGGGTAGTTTGGCGATTCTGCAGTCAAGTCAGCAGGGCCCTGAGCTCTTCCTTGAGGTTCTGTCCTCATTAGTGTGACAGCTTATGGCCCAAGGTAGCTTCTCAAGGTCCAGCCAGGAAGGAGGATCAGCAGGAAGGAGGAAGTGGGACAAGGCCCGTACCAGAAGGGATATCTGACACTTTTCTACCTAAATATCGTTGGTAAAAACAAGTCATGGCACAGAGTTTTATTTTGGGATGATGACAACAGTTCTGGAATGGATGGTGCTGATGGTCGTACAGTGAGTGTATGTAATGCAAGATACTCTTAAAATGGTTAAAACTGTATGTGTTTGCAAACAAACTCGGTCGTCTAGAAGGAGGGGGAGGCTGGGAAATGTGGTCTTTATTTTGGATAGCCACTAGCTTTCTCAAAATCTGAAGTTCCAGCCAGGTGTGGTGGCATGTCCTTGTAATCTCTGCACTTTGGGAGGCTGAGGCAAGAGGACTGTGAGTTTGAGTTCAACCTGGGCAACTTGGCAAGATTATGGCAAAATAAAGAAGGGCATAGCTTGGTGTGAAGGCACTGGGTTCAATCCTCAGTACCAAAACCAAACCAAACCAGAACAACAAAACCAATGAACAAGTGCGGTTCCATTACTGATGAAGAAAAGGCAGGCAAATACTGGGGATGCCTACCAGTCTTTGAAACATGTCCAGTGGCAGAAAAGATAAAGAACAACAAGTAAGTGTAAAAGAAATACACAGTCGTGCATAGCTTATGGAGAGAACTGTTATGGGGGATTCATTAATATGTTTTTTCCAGAAACAAAAGAAATACTGCAAGTCAAACTAACCTTTTGGTGTTGAGTCCAGAATTCTTGTGTTCTTTTGTTTTCTCAGTGGCATTGCCAAAGCATGGAATCAGGCATATTTTGGGGAAGGATCTGGCCCAATATTGTTGGATGAAGTACACTGCACTGGGAATGAACTTTCCATTGAGCAGTGTCCAAAGAGTTCCTGGGGTGAACATAACTGTGAGCACAAAGAAGATGCTGGGGTGTCCTGTACTCCCCTTACAGGTAAGGGCTTCACCCCTCTTAATATTCCAACCCTCGCCCCAGCACCGCTTGGACTTGCCACGCCTTCCTTTCTCCTCAGTTCACATAGTATTACCAAATGAACATTCAAATAAATACATTAAACGAAACCAAAAAAATCAAACATAAGCTGTATTAAAATGCTATCTCCTTATTCTAGGATGTTTCTGAGTTTTTCGGTTTAAGGTCATAAAGTTCTATAAAGCTAGATTAAAAATATGACTCTGTTGCAATATGTAGTACATAGTAATCAAAACCAGTGTGCAATGATAAATTTCACATATTGTGTGTTATAATTACATGTTTAGTTAATTCATCTATTATCCAATCTTACTGTCAGAATGTGTTTATAGTTGGAATAAAACTGTATTGATGTGATTGTTGATTAAAGCACACTATTAAGGAAAGCAAGTTAGCTTTGCTGTGATTAATGTTCAGACAATTCCAAATTGCAGCATGTCTGTCCATTTAGGTCATGTATTATAAGAAGGGTTTGTCTGAGTGGAAACTGCTATGTGTGTATGAACTTACATGTTTAGAGGGAAGAAGAAAAACTATGAAAGAGAAGTTGCAGCATCGCAAATCCGTTGTTTCTGGGTCAAAGTTAACTTGAAGAAAGATGTCTAATCTTACTTTAAGAAAAATCAAAGCATCTTCTTAGGCCCTACAAAATATTGAATTTACACCTTTTTATAAAATCTACACTGATGTTTTTATTAGTGGAATGAAACATTTACGTACAATAGAAGTTTATAATTTATGCTGAGCTAAGCTAGAGCACTTTATTTTCTTCAACTGCCATTTCCTCCGCTTTCAAATGATGAGAGTCTTGTGTTATTGCTAAGGTGGTCAGATGAGGTAATATGTGTCACAGTGCTTTCCAGACAATAAAATACTTTATTAATAAATGGTTGTTTCTGTGAGACATTTATTTGCTTTAAAGGATCCCAGAGAGTCATAAAAGTATGACCTTTACCCAAATTATTTATGTTTCACACGGGCAGGGAGATTGAATTATTGCAGATGGAAATGGTTTTTAAATTAACTTTTAAATGAAATTTATGTTACTGTGCTTCTGCTTAGAATCTTTTAATAGGATTCTTTGGAAATTAATTATTTATTGATTAATAAGATTCAAATTCAGATCTGTATTATCAATAAAAGAACAGAGGCAAGGCATGTACTCTAGTTTTTATAATTCATGAATGCCTAAGGAATAATAAATGCATTGACGTGAAAGATGGTTCTTTATCCAGAATAGCTTTTTCTGTCTTCAAATTTCAGTATTTTTTATTTGCAGTTAAAAGTTTGAACTATTTTCAAGTTGCTGTGTTTTCTTGCTTTTTAAATGTGTAGAACCTGTATTGCTTAGATTTATGGAGACTGCAGTTATGGGAAATTTCCTCAATATTATTTTAATCTAGAAAAATCAATATAGATTGCTTAGAATTTTATCGGAATATGTTTTTGCACTCCCAGAATAGGAGTATAAGTATTAGGATGGATAAATGTTGTGGCCAACATCAGAGACAATGCGGTGACCTCAGGCTAGTGAGGACAGCTGTCAGTTGAATAAAAGGCTGAGCCGGAATATGACAGCGCTTCTGGTAAAATGAAAGTATTATTTTGCCTTTTTTGAGACTTGATTTGCTTAGTCCTGGTGCTTCCTTCTTATGCAGATGGGGTCATCAGACTCGCAGGTGGGAAAGGCAGCCATGAGGGTCGCTTGGAGGTGCACTACAGAGGACAGTGGGGCACTGTCTGTGACGATGGCTGGACTGAGCTCAATACTTACGTGGTTTGTCGACAGCTGGGATTTAAGTAAGGTCCACTGAAATGAGGCAGCTGAATGCCAAGTTATACCTTTAAAAGTCTTATTGTATAGTTAATCCTTACTTGTAATTTTTGTCATACTAAAATACATGTTCTCTGTCATCTGTTTATCCTCTGTCTACCTTCTGTTTCCTATATACCTACCTAACCTCCTTCCTATATATGGACGTGCAACAAAAAATCAGTGACATTTTCTAAGATGATAAACAACCACCACCTGCCATTTTTCTCAGTTACCTTTCTTATTACCAGTGCTCTTGAATAGATTGGTTAAAGCCAGGGGTGACTTGTAGGTCCTTTGTGTCTATTCAAGTGAGACTTTGAATGGTTGATTTCATTCCCAGACATCACTACCAAGGGATGTTGGTAGTTTTGACATCACTGGGTCTAAAATCGCAGCAAAGTCCGGTGTCAAATGGTTTAGTATTGCATTATTTCCTTTCTCAGAATGGGAGATAATTACCACTCTTATTTGAGAAAAACAGCTCTCTTGTCATGAGATGACCTTTAGAACTCGCCTTTAACCTCACTCACTCAACAGCTGAGTATCAAACTTTGGGTGATGCATTTCATGTCACATGCATAATGCATTCCAGTGCAAAGTAACTGTAAATAATGCCTGTGAGCTAAATATCTGAATGACGACAATGAAGGGCCATCCTTGTTTTTCGTATTTCCACTTAATGCTTCAAGTAATAGTCTCATACTTGAAGAAATTGGCAAAGTATTTCATTTCAGCCTGAGCTAATTGCAAATATTCACTAAACCTTAAAAATATGCTTTTGTTTAACCTGAGCAAAGCCATGTTTAAACATTTATTCAAGTAGTATAAGTCAGAAAATTTGGAAAAAAGAAAATTGAATAACTATTCACAAATTTTCCACTTTTACACTATTACAACTTACATGTTCTATCATAACTTGTCTGTCTCCCTTCTAGCCTGTGTGGTTTTTGAGGGAACAGTCCTGTCTTCCTTCTCACTAATCTCAGTACCTAGCTTTGCAAACTCAAGTCATCTTTCAGTAAAATCGTGTATAAAAGAGTTTTCTCTTAGAATTTAATTTTGGTCTTCTTTGATCTCAAGTTCTGCCTTTATATCAATTTTAGTAGTGGATGTAACATTTTTATACCACTTTTTTTACTTTTATATTGCTATGCAGTCACAAATGTTAATGGTAATGTAATATGTATTGAATGGTCATATCATAATTTACTTAATATTTAGATTAGTTTTTTAGGTTAAAATATTTCATTTTCCCAGCTTAATTATAAATAATGATAGCATGAAGATAAAAATGTACCTAATTTCCCCCTATTTTGAATTTTCCATGTGCAGAGAAGTTATTAAAAATGACTAGGTCAAAAGATATGACATAACATACAAATACTGACATTAAATTAAGTAATCAAATTAAACTTACTCATATTTAATTTAGCTAATAAAATACATGTCATCTTACATTTAAATGAATCTCTGTTACACTAACATTTGTACCTTGTATTTACATGTTTAGGAAAATTCATAAATCCCATTATTTGCCATTTATTTCACTTTTTTCTTGATTAATGAGAAGAATCAAGTAGCACTGATATTTTTCTCCATATTGTATTTACTTTGTACCTTGAAGCCATTGTTTTTCTTTTGTGTACATTGAGTACTTAGACTTACTTCTAAAAATGTTCTCAATAATGTGTTAAAAGTTCTAAATGATTGTAGTACATACAATAAGATGTGCTACTATTACTTTTAGTTTATAGAGAAATTTTTGAGAGAGGATTTTCTTCTTTTTTTTTTTTTTTGGTACTGGGAATTGAACTGAACTTGGGACCTTGTGCTTGTCAGGTAGGCGCTTGTGCCAGTGAGCTATATCCCTGGCCCCAAGAGAGAGGATTTTCTTATGGAATAAATAAATTTGGGTTTCTTTGTACAAATGAAATCCCAAATAAAATAACTTTATGTTATATGTCATGTAGTTGAAATAAAGAGAAAATCATCAGATTGATAAATTTTCTGGAAAAATGACATAAGTTGAAAGTGATTAGCAATATGGGATTTAGGTTAATTTCTTTTCTTTGTTTCTTTTTTGTTGTTGTTACTAGGAATTGAACTCAGGACCTTGTGCTTGCCAGGCAGGTCTTTGTGCCACTGAGCTATATCCCCGGCTCTGCTTTTCTAACTATGACTTGACTAGCAAAATAGACAAAAATTAAAATGCCTAATTAAAAGTTGCATTGTTTTAATTTATTAAACATTCATTTGGTTAAATAAATTTAAAAAATGATGGCACAGGAAAACATACTCATGGCAGATAGAAAGGTCTCTTCACATTCTTATATAGAAATAATAAAACATCAAGTAAAAAAATGATTGCCATGACATTTATGACTGTGTTGAATTTCTTAGACATAAAAGATGTCTTAAAGATCTTTAAGCTCAATGACTTCTAGAGGTTTGGATTTTATGGAACAAAAGAAAACTTGAGAGGAGGGCAAAAGAAGCTGCAGACCAATTTAACTGCCTGCTTAAAAATTTTACAGATGGATTTACTCCTGTGACCAATACCTGAGAAAAACAGCTTAGAGGAGGAAGTTTATCTTGGCTCGTGGTTTTAGAGTCTCAGTCTGTGGTTGGCTGGCTCCAGTGCCGTGGGCCTGTGGGCAAGCAGAAACATCATGGAAAATGGATGTGGAAGAGGAAAGCCTTCACCTCACCGCAGCCCAGAGGCAGAGGAGTAAAAGTCAGAGGGAAAGAACTGGGATTGACCTTCAAAGCCATTCCCAGCAACCTGTTTCATGGGCCCTACTTTCTTTCTTTCTTTCTTCCTTCCTTCCTTTCTTTCTTTCTTTCTTTCTTTCTTTCTTTCTTTCTTTCTTTCTTTTTTGGTACTGGGAATCAAACTCAGGACCTTGCACTTGCCAGGCAGGTGCTTATGCCACTGAGCTACATCCCTGGCCCCACTTTCTAATAAGCCCACTCAGCTAATGCACTTGTGAATGGATTCATGCAGTTGATGAAGTCAGAACCTTTATGATACAATCAGATTTCCAAAAGTTGCACATCTGACTAAGCACATGAGCTTTTGGGGGAACTTTTAGATCAAACAGTAATGCAGATGTTTCCTATTTTATAGCTTATGCTTTATTATAATACGTATATCATAGATAGAATAAAGTTAACTGAAGCACAATTATAATTTGTGACATCAAATTTGTATCAGTGTGAAATGCTAAGAAAGAACATTGACATTATTCTGAATTGAATGGATGGAAATCCAGATTTTATCAGGGATTGGGTACTTTCCATGAGCAAACCAGTAAATTAATACACACTTTTCATTTTAGAGAAGTTCCTAAAAAGACCTAGAGAAGCTGGTGAAATCAGAGTAGCTCAGATCGTTCATCAGAGGCCAAAATGAAACAACTGTTCTCCCTCCCTGGTTCACAGGGTTACTTCCGTGGTCAGGAACTTGAGGTTTAGCTCATTGTCTGCATTATCGCTGGTTGGTGGATTAAATTTTAGACAGAACATGAGAATGAGTCACCCATTTGTTACTCATTGAATCAATCAAAAATTAAGATGATTAAAATGTGTGATGAAACAAACACAGCTCTGAGGCTCCAAGGTAAAAGAAAAGCAAATGCCTTCTGAAGTTAGGACACTTGGATTGTTTTGTGGTTCCTTGAAACGTGAGACAGCAGTCTCATGCACAGTGCTTACTTTATCACCACAGGTATGGCAAACAAGCCTCTCCAAGCCATTTTGAAGTAAGTCCAGGGCCCATATGGCTGGATGATGTGAGCTGCTCAGGAAAGGAAACCAGTTTTCTTCAATGCTCCAGGAGACAATGGGGAAAGCATGACTGCAGCCATCGGGAAGATGTGGGCATCAGTTGCTACCCCGGCGGTGATGGGCATAAACTCTCTCTAGGTGAGGACTGGCCACAGCTCTTGAGTATCCATACTTCAGTAGCCACCATGTCTCTAACTGTTGATCTGGAATATGAAGCATTTCTCATCTTTACTTTTTAAGAAAAACAATCTTTTGAGTCCATTAGTGTCATGAAATTTCTGTCCTTACATTTGTTTTTGTTACTTATGAGTTCAAACTTCTCACCAAAAATATTTGTTTCACATGTACCTGAAAGGTGGAATAAGCAGCAATATCCATTGCATTATTCCTTGGTGTCCTATTCTAATATTTATTGATCTTGAATTCCAATGAGCTATTTGAGACAAGACCAAAAAAGTATAAAAAGAGTATTCCGTTCCTCCTGTCTCATGATTTATTTCTTCTCTAGTCTTGTGGACTCTTCAGTCCTTGGTCACTGGCCATTTGTTACTCTTCAGAATCCTCGCTGGATTCATGGGAGTTAAGAGCCCACTCATCTCTCTAACATATGCTGCCGTCTTAGTTACTTTTCTTGTTGCTGAGATAAAACACCCAACACCCAAAGTTAAAGGAGGAAAGGTTTATTTGGCTTACAGTTCACAGAGGTCTCAGTCCATAGTCGGCTGACTCCAAGACAGCCTGGCATGGCAGAGGAGCATTACAGGGCAGAAACAGTTCACAGCAAGCAGACAGAAGAGGGCACATTAGCCCTCTTTCTGTGCTTTGTATTTTACGCATGCTACCTGCCCTAGTGTGGGTGTGGCACTCATACCCTTAATTCTTGCCAGAGCTATGCCAAAGGAATCAGTGGACTGATTTAGTAATCACACACCCTGGATCCCAGCAAAACACACTCTAGATCCAACCACCTCTGAAAAACCCCCTCTATGACTACATGAGGCTTTGGGTGGACATCTACACATAAGACAGCATTCTGCTCTTGGTGCCACAAAGACTCATGTGCATCCCTTTATCCAAAAGGTGTTTAGTCCAGCTGTAAGAGTTGTCAAAGTCCTAACAGTTTTATCATTGCTGAATAGTTCAAGTCCAAAGGTCCAAAGTCTCTTCTGAAATTTTAGGCAAACTCTCAACTGTAAGCTCCTGTACAAATGAAAAGAAAATTAAACACTTCCAACATCCAATGGCACAAGATAGACATTTCTATTCCAAAAGGTACAAATAGGGGGATACAAAGGAATATCCAAAATAAGTCCAAACTCCAACAGGGCAAACATTAAGTCCTGTAGTTCCGTGTCGAGCATCCAAGGCAATCTGTGACAAGATGTGAACCCCAAAGGGCTTGGGTGGCTCTACCCCTATAGCACTTCTGGTGGTTGTAGCTCCCATGCTTCTCTCTTGGGCCAGCTCTGCTCCCTCCTTGCAGTTTTCCTCAGATGATCCAAGTTCCTTGCTTCTCTTAACTTCTGGGGTCTCCACTGCATCTTTGGCTTCACATTCACAGCTTCACATACTGCCCTCTCAGGGGTACACTGTCTGTCCTCCCAGATCTTCTTCTGAAATCTGGGTGGAAGCCTTCCTAACCCTACAACTCTTGCATTTTGCATGCACTGAAAGCCAGCAATAGCCAAATGACACCAGGTTCTGCTTCCAGCTGTAACAGCAGCCAGGCTTCCTTTACTCTTGGCTGTAAGGGTTGAGTACCTGAATCACTGAGCACTCTGAACCCAGTCCTGCGGGACAAATCCTCTATGCCACTGCCATTCTGGAACATGGTGCTCTAGGGCTCTCCTCTCAAAGCAAAGTCTTTCACTTTTGCAACTCTGAAGCTGTAAAAGCTGGTGTTCTGCTAATTCTTATGTTGTCCTCAGGCCATCTTTTCTTTTGTCTTCTGAAATACTTGAATTTTTCTTGTTAGCCTTTTCAGTGACCAATTTCTCCTGTTTCACCTCTGCAGGCTGCAACTTTACTGGAGCTTCCTTTCTGGCTAATATCACAATGTTTTGAATCATCCTGCTGGGCTCTTTGCTCTTGATTCTTAACATAGATCACCCAAAGCAGTCATGCCACAGTCTCAACATTAGATTGCCTTGAAATTTCTTTTGCAAGATTAATTAGTCTGCTGTCCTTAGTCTCAGGCGAAGTTTTGGACATGAGCAAAATGCAGACAAACTTTCTGACAAGGCACAGCACATATGTTCTGGAGTCCAACTGCTGATGCAGTCCTTTTTCCCTAAAGAAGCCTCCTAAGCTAGTCTTTACTGTAAGCATTTCTACCAGCATTCTTGTCTTTTGACCTCTGACCAGTATCTTCCATCAAGTACAGCTTCAGGCATTCCAGTGCTGCTTTGTGAGCTGGCATCTCTAAACTTTTCCAAACTCTTCCCACACGTCAATTCTAAATGCTCCTGAATCACCTGGTCAGTTACAGTCAGAGCAATGACCCCAATTCTCTGGTACCAAATTCTGACTTAGTTACTTTTCGTGTTGCTGAGACAAAATACCTAATACTCAAAATTAAAGGAGGAAAGGTTTATTTGGTTCATAGTTTGTAGAAGTTTCAGTCTATAGTTGGCTCATGCGAAGGCAGGGAGGTATGGCAGAGGGGCTTCACAGAGAACAAATAGTCCACAGGAAGCAGGCAGGAGAAAGTGCATTAGCCTTCTTTCTGTTCCTTATAATTTTGGAAGGCAGGTACAGCACTCACACCCTTAATCCTAGCCAGATCTATGCCAAAGCAGTCAGTGGACTGATTTAGTAATCACACACCCTTGATCCCAGAACCACACACTGCAGATCCAGCCACCTCTGAAACCACCACCCTCCTGACTGCATGAGGCTTTCGGGGGCCATCTAGACACAAGCCATAACAGCTGTTCTCTAGAAATACATCAGGAACTCTTCCTGCTCCCCAGTGACAGATTTCTTCAAACTTGTATTTGGATAAAAGGTGCCTAGCAGTCTTGAAATAATTACAGATAAAGATCCTCTTATAAAATATTCTTGACAAGTTCTTAATGTACAATTAGGAGGGCAGAATAAATATGAGTGAAAAAATATATTGGGAAATATTGAAAATACTTGGCAGGAACTGTCACATCTCTATTATACATATATACATGTGTTTTTGTGTATGTATAAATAGATTTTAAAATAGTCATTAGGTGGTCCTTACTTTTAACCTCACGATTAAATCAATTCATCTTGTATCTTCCTATTTTGAGATTATGAAGCTGAAAATACAAACACAAGACAATGAAACTTGTTGAAACACATGGTATTAACCACACGTCACATTTACAATTTATCAAAATATGTATACGGGTATTTTCTGTCAACTGTGGGATCACGGTGACTCAGTGGGTTAACCCAGCATTATTTAAAGTAGAAGTATAATTTTTCACTTTATTCTTTGTTGATCATATTTCCAATTTTCTTTCTTTTCATTTGTTCTCTTCTTATGGAGGATTTACAATACTGTCAGGATTATCTGATGAAAGATTGCTTGTGGTCAGTGGGGACAGAACCAGTTTGCTAGAAATGGATCTTCTTGGTCCCTGGTAGCAGCTATTTAAATCATGGAGTGATCTTTCCAGACATGCTGTATCAGTACTCTTATGTTAAAAAATACTGTGATCTGAGTTCTCCAGAGGCCTCTACTATACATCATACAATTAGGACAACTAATCTGTTCAGTTCCCCTGAAAATAATTTTAATTTTAGGATTTTGCACATGCTTTTTTAAAAATTTAAAAAGTCATGGGTGATAATTATTAATATGTGATCACTATTATGAATCTCTTTGGTTCTAATCTCAGTAATATGTCTATTAACTAAAGTTATTTGTTCAAAGAACATTATGTCTGAGCCAAATATTCTTTGGGAGAGAATCATATTATCACTTATTTATTCAAATAAATCAATGCCTCCCACTTATTAAAAATTTGTATATTGCAATGAGAAGCTTATAGAAGGAGGTCAAGGAATAATAATATAGACAAGGAGTTTTTGTTTTGTTTTGCTTCTTTGGCACTCTTAGCCTCCCCAAACACTGTATATTTATTTAGGATTTTAGAAAACAACATGTTGTATATCATTATTACTGGCCTAACAAAAAAGATTTAAGTAGTGAGAGGGTATGTGTAGAATGACTTTGTGTCATCCAGTTTCCTTTCAAGAATTGAAAATCCAATGATTTTATGAAATGATTAAAATTAGTAACAGAACTATCTTATGCAGTAGTTTTACAAAGTATGCTATTTAGCCTTAAAATAACTTATCATTGTACTTTTAGAGTATATAAACACCTACCAAAATAAAAAATGGAGATCTAATTCCTTGTGCCTATATTGTCTTAATTTTGAACCAAAGATTCAAAAATATAAAACTATAAAATTTTAGGAAAAGAGTTTGATTAGTTTGAATTTGGTCTTTAATGATCACTTTTTGCCCTACTTCTCTTGTGAAGAACCCTTAAACTGAAGATACATTAATGAGAAATGTTGAGTTTCAAATATCCTGTTTTGTGACATAGCTAAAATTCCGATTTTTTAAAACTAGTAGCTCATGGAACTGACACTCATTACACATTTGTTTTGACCTTGCTATACGACTCTTTTGTATTGCCTGTCCCATGAAGTGAACCTGGTCTAGCACCGAAACTCTGGGAGCAGCAAAGTATAGAGAAATAACAGTGAGTTTGAGAAATAAAAATAGGATGTGTCCATCTTGCTAACAGTTTTGTTTTAGTTAACAAATGTCAATTTAATAATTCCATGCATTGGCTTAAACAAATATTAGGTGATGTTTTCCTCATTAGCTGCCTGCTTTCACCTGATAATTTTACCATGCTTCATTTTATTTCCTAAATTCTTATCAGTAAACTGTCCTGAAACTGGAGACCCTTCCAGCAACTAGGTAATCAAATGTGTGTTTACTTAGTTGCTTGGATTGCTCTGCAAAGTCCCGTGGACTGAATGGCTTAAACATGATATTTACTGTCTCACAGCTCTGGAGCTAGGAGTTCAAACTCAAGGATTCATCAGGGATGCTTCCTAGAAAAGGAACTGTGACGGAAGGGCTGTGGGGAATGAATATGCTCCAGGGTTATTCTTGGATTAAAGATAAGACTTTTCTCCCTGTATCTCCTCAGATTTTCCTCTCTCTGTATAACTCTGTCCAAATTTCTTCTTGCTGTAAGGACAATTGTTATATTGGATTAGGGTCCACCATAATGACCTCACAAGTCTACCCAGGACAGTATGCAAATCTCAGTAAAGGCATTAAATTAAACACTTCCATATTTAGTGGTGTGGATAGAGATACATTATCAGTGACATCATTTGTATAATTTAAACCTCAATATACTAGAGATGTTTCTCAGTTTTTATATCATAGTGATTTTTGACCTGGAATTAATATTCAGCTGAGACTCACTCAAGTTACTTATGTACACCAATGTTGTATCTATTTATGACTTCCTAAAAATCTTCGCTTAGAGTATAAATGTCTAATTATTCATGGATTTAAAAAGATATGAAACAAAAATTCTAAAGTAATAGTCTTGTACTATTTTTAAGTTAGTTATAGTGAAATAATTTTGTTTGATAATGTCACTCATCCATTCATTCATTCATTCATTCATTCATCCAACAAACAGCAATGCATGTCCTCTGTGTGCCAGGTACTTTTCCAAATGTTCAGGATGCAAAGTTGGGCAAGGTAAGCACTTTTAACCGTAGGGCCTCAACAGACAGACAAAAGTGGATGCAATTTTTTATCGATATCTCTTCTCTCTTTTTCTCTTTCCCTTTCAAGTATAAGTGCTGTTCCACTGATGTTATAAGTGATTTAAAATAATAATTATATTTTGTAGTCTCTTATGCTTTAGTATAAGTTTCCTTGCTTTGGCTTTTCTAATGTTTTTGAATTACCACTTAGGTTTTCCTATAAGACTTATGGATGGAGAAAATAAAAAAGAAGGACGAGTGGAGGTTTTCATCAATGGCCAGTGGGGAACAATTTGTGATGACGGATGGACTGATAAGGATGCAGCTGTGATCTGTCGACAACTTGGTTATAAGTAAGGAAAACAATTATTTGCCATGGTTGCTTGATAAAAATTTGGTGTTTTTAGAGTCTTGTTTTAATGAGTTACTCCTTACCCAAAATTAGCTTTTTTTTTTTTTCATTCTGTTGAAATACTTGCAGTTTGCTGGTTTGATTCAAAATTATAAAGAAGTACTACGTACAGTCTAGTCAAAACTCCTTCTTTCAAGAAACATTATGTCACATAAGATCTGTAGCTTTTTATCTAATAAAAATAGTCCAGTAACTGAGACTACTAATAATACTGCTTCTCTCAGCCAAAGGTGTTAACCTTTTCCCTGTGAGTTACGGTTCAACACGGTAGCCTTTTAAGGGAGTGAAGATTATTGAAATTACAGCAGTTCTTATTACTCAGTGGTAGGTTTATTCTAGAAAGTCTCTGTGACCACAGAAATTTCTGAGCCATTGCTTGGAAGGCTGAGGTCAGTGCTCTACCTTCTTATGCTATCATTTTTGGCAGTCTATTTAATGCCTTTTACGTTCTTTGTATCCTGTGGAATGTGTGTGCATGCATGTGTGTGTGTGTGTGTGTGTGTGTGTGTGTGTGTTTGTTTATAATGATTTCACTATTTGAAACAGTCTTTAAGCATAGTGTTGAAGTGCTGTGTAGTGTTCCTTAGCACAAGAAGGCTAGCATGTGCCTTATGGAGGAAAGATCAGTGTTATATCAGCTTCATTCAGGCTTGATTGAACATGTAGCACCAAGTAGACTGAAAAGGACATAGTACAGTTTGAAACAAGAAAAAAGGAAGATCTGAGATTTGAAACAGGAGGTAGATCATATCCTTGTCAGACCTCAGCTGAGTGACTTACAGTTCTGGGCCTGCAAATGTCCATGAATGACAGTGAAATTTTTGGAGTTATACAAATATGGAAAAGCTACCTCTTTATGAGACTTAAGCTACTATACATAAGTGCCTAGCTCATAGTAATGAGCTAATAATAGTTTGATTTAAAAATATATCCATAACTATATATTTATGTGTATTATCTTAAACATTGATCAATTCAATTGGTTATTTCTAAGTAAAATATGTTTTTTACTTTAAAAAGTACTTCTACTTTAATAAAAGTGCAAATATTTTTGGTACACTTTTAATTCAGATTTGGCTTTTGGCAACTCATCTCACTGTCCAGTTTTAGACCCAGTTTCAGTTCTAGTTGACTCAAGGTCAATTTGATATAGATATTCAATTTTCAAAATAGAGAGTAGTTGAGAGAGGAACACAGACACAGTCTACATCAGGTGTATAGGTGAATTCAGCCAACAATTTATCTTAAACTTGCCTGCTGTGTCTCTATTACTCCTTCCTCCATTTCAAAAGCAATATTACTTCAGTTTGTACATTATATTACAGTTCGTTTCCTTTCCTAAAATTAGACATTAACAGATATGGCTGTTTAAGACTGGTTTCTTGGCCATACCTTTCTCTTTTGGTAGTGATCCAAGAATGCTAGTTTACCTTTGGAAACACGGAGGGAAAGATGGGCATCAAATTTGATTCCAAATTGTGTGTCCAGTCAAGTTTAAGGCCAGAAGATGTTACCATGCATACTTATTAATGCATTATTTCTTTTTAGCCTTTTCATTAGGTTTTTGGGAGGTCATCATTGAGTGCATTTAACATTCAACTCAAATGTAAATTTAGCCTGATGTTAGGATGGCATTGTGAAAAAACAAAACAAAACCAACACAGAAACAAAGGATGACAAGTGTTGGTGAAGACATGGAGAAACTGGAACCCTTATACACTGTTGGTAGGGATGTAGACTGATGCAGTCACAATACAAAACAGTATGGGAGCTCCCCCAAACATTAAAACAAATTTAAAACACATATGTGATTAGAGCAGAGGATCTTTTACTCCATGCCTATTTCATAATGTATTGATTTGTAGAAATCAATCCAAAAATTTTTTTAACTGTTAAAGTGGCCTCAGTTCTAGTGCTCTGCCCCTCAGCAAGCTACATCATGCTTGATGATTAGTCCTTGGAAACACTGAGAATCAAAATAACATTAGAAAGCATTTTCGTAATGGGAAAAACAGAAATGAGATAATAAAAACCAGGAAACATGAACGGGAAGTAATGTGATATGCTTGGAGTGAGCAGAAAAGTAAAAGGCACCAGTTAATGATGTATTACATAATGTCTGACAAGGTGTAGCATTGTTTTTATAGGGCTGACAGAGAAGTGTTGAGATCAGTTAAATTTGGTGAGAGACTAAACAGCCTTGATGGAAATTCCATTCTGTTTGAACTTTCTATGAATATGTTTCAATATGGCATTGTTTTTGAAGAATGAATACACTGCAAGAGTCTGTTCTTTAAAAGAATTTTGAAATGGTGCACCCTGTTATTTTCACTGAGATCTAAAATTCAGTATATTTAATTTGTATCTTAAGTTAAAATATGTACAAAGCATTTCATTTATGATGTCTTTATATATGATATCTAAAATAACAGTTATATCATTCTTTTCTATCCAGTGGAATATATAGTGATGTGATCCTCTTTGGTATCCATTTAAAGATTCATGAATAAAGTATATTTCCTTGACCCATTGAAGTACACATAATTACTTTTTTCCTTGTAATTGTGTGTGAAATTTTCTTCCTATGTACATACACACATGTCAACACAGTCTGCAGGACTATTTGAGGTGCTTCTGTCCCTGCTTCTGAGCTTGGAAATAGGATACATCTTTTAGAATCTTCATATGCCAGTCCCATCTTCCTTACTCTACCATACAAAGTAAAAACTACTTTGAATTTGGTGTCATTCCATTGCAGTTTTCTCTTTTTTTTGTTTTTTTCCTTCCGGTACCAGGAATCGAACTCACAATGTTGTGCTTGCCAGGCAGGCGCTGTGCTGCTGAGCTAAATCCCCAGCCCTTCCATTGCAATTTTCATAGCTTAGAGCAAGTTATAGCCCTAAACAATAGTTTTTTTCTGTGTTTTAAAATCTCATTTTGAAAGTAAGCAGTTATACTTTATGTTCTTCAGTTAGGGGCATTTTTTTTTCAGTATTGCTTGATGTAAGTGGTTGTCATTAACTCATACTCATTTTGCTCTGTAGTATTAAATTGCATGAATATCCATGCTATTTATTTACTGTATTGATGCTAGGTCATTCATACACCTTTCTTGGTCTGTTTTCTGTAGCTGTAACTAAATACCACAGACTGAATAATTTATAAAGAATAAAAGGTTGTACAGCTTACAGTTCTAGAGGCTAAAAGGTAGAGGTGCCTAATCTAGTGAGAGCTTTCTTGCCAGTGAGGACTCTGCAGTGGTCCAGGGTGGTGCAGAACATCACACAGAGAGGTGTGCATACAAGACAAAGTCAGTCTTGCTACCAGAACAGCACACTCCTGAGAGAACCATTAACTTATTAGTCCATAAATAGATGCAGGCAGAGTTCTCATGATCCAGTCTTGTCCAGAAGACCCACTAGGTCTTACCTTGATGCCTTACTCAGGAAATTAAACTTCAGTATGAGTTTTGATAGAGACATTCAAACCATAGCAATATCATTTCTACTTGTGCTCTTAAAAATAAAGACAGCTATGAACTTTCTTACACCTTTATGCTGTTACACTGTAATAGATCTTTTTAAGGTATGTAATCAGGAGTAGACTATGTGCACCATCAATTTTATCAAGAGATGCAAGATTGCCTTCCCATGTGGCTGCATTGATTTGCACACTCACTAGTAATGATGATCTTTTCTTCATCTGTTGCTCATTTGGTGCTGGCTACTGTATCTTATTATTTATCCTTGATTACTAATGAGGTAGCACTCTTTTCATTTGTTTAATTAGCTGTTGGTGTTTCCTGTTGAATAAAACGTCTTTTAGTTTCTTGGAATATATCTTGCTTGTTTTTCTCTTGGGTTTTTAAATTTTTTCTTAAATTATTTCTGTGAGTGTGTGAGTTCTTTGTTTTCCTCTATTTGAAAATATATCCACCCACAAATATATTTGTATGAATTGTAAACATTAGACTTTTAATTCATCTTTTCACATTCCTTAGAATACTTTTTAGTAAAGTGATATTCATCATTTAATTCATCATTTAATAATTAATTCATTAAGACTGTTAATATAATAGTCTTTTAAGATTTACTCTCTATGTTTTGTTTAATATATTTTTCCTAACAAGATTTTAAACATAGTTTTCCTATAATTTACACTTTAAAGCTTTTGCTTTTCATAATTTTGTTCATTGATTTATTAGGGATTGAGTCTTAAATATGGTGCATTTAAAATATGTAATTTATTTAAAAAGGTTTGCTTGTGCATATTTTAAAAATGTGTTGTTAAAGCAAATATATGACTCGGGGGGGTAGCACATGCCTATGATCCAGCACTAAGAGGCTGAGTCAAGAGTGTGAATTTAAGGCCAGCTTAGTCTATATAGCAAGTTCAAGGCCAGCCTGTATTTTATAGCGAGACCTCGCCTCAAATAAACAGACAGACAGACAAGCAAACAACCAAACAAGCAAACAAGAGAAATGTCAAAAGTCTGGCTTCTACATATGATGCTCAGCTTTGTATTTTGTGTTCTTTCTTTTTCAAGAAATATACTTTCCACATCTCAAAGAAGCAAATAAATTACTTTCTGTGTCCCAGCCTGCTAATTATTTAATCTCATAATGTTATTGGCAAAATTACTCCAATTTAGAGGTTGTTATACTCTTTAAGAGGGTAGAAAATTTGGGGGTGTGTTTTTTTCCTGTTAGTTAAAGACTATCATTTTCTGACATGCCAGCAAGTGTGACTTTCTAAGGAGAAGGTAAATTAAAGGCAATTTATTCCATTAAGTATCTATAGGGTATGACAATAAAGAAGGTATAGATATTACCTCTCTAATTTTTTGACAGTAATGAAATAAAGAATTTTTAGTACATGTAGATGCTAATTTTTATTTGTAAAATTTAAAAAATAAAGTTGAATTTGAGCATCTGTTGTGACATATACAGATGTATGACTCACTGATTCTCCACTTGCAGGGGTCCGGCCAAAGCAAGAACCATGGCTTATTTTGGGGAAGGGAAAGGACCCATCCACATGGATAATGTGGAGTGTACAGGAAAAGAGAGGTCTGTGGCTGACTGTATCAAGCAAGATATTGGACGTCACAACTGCCGTCACAGTGAAGATGCAGGAGTTATTTGTGATTATTTTAGTAAGAAAGCATCAGGTAACAGTAATAAAGGTAAGTCACCTTCTGGGGCACCAAACAGAGAATACTAATCCATCACTAATAGAAGCAGTACTTTGGTAACAAACTCCATGCAATGAGGACGTACACAGTCTCTTGTTTGTGCTGTTTAGGGCCTGAGGTTTTTGCAAAATGTGCCTATGTGATGCTTACAGGCAGAACAGAGTTCAAGGGCAGGAATGGATTCAAGAGCTCAACTTACCATCTTTGAGATCAAACCCTTCTTGCATTCTTAGCTGTTTCTGTATCATTTCTTCCTTGGCTAGAATAAAGCTGTCAGCTGTGTTGATTTTAAATTTTCATTTTTTTTTAATTTAAAATTTTTTTTTT